ATCTTCTGCCAATGTTTTTTTCCTTTTTTTCACGTTAGTCTCCTCTCGAGTTGGCGCACGGGGGGACACGTTTATTCTTTTTTGCGAACCAAATGAAACCAAACCGCTGCCACTTTTCTTACATTATTTCGTGAGCTCTCGATTTAGGACAGCCGCCTTTTAATTATTTATGAGGATGGAATAGAGGCACGCGCAACTACATGTCGTCCCGCTGTTCAGTAGTTGTGTGTGTGTGTGTGTGCGCGCGCGTGTGTGTGCATTGCACTATTACCTCGAAGATACTCTTTATCTCTTTCAGCTCACGAGTTTGCTATGGGAAGAACGTGCGCTTATGTAGGTGATTCACTACCATTTTTTCCTCTACTTTTGACTCATGACATTGACCATTTTTTGACACGCGTCAAATACCGTAATTAGGGGGAAAACCGTACGATGTACTGTTTTTCATAATCAGAAGATTGAAATGACTATCCAACGTTGAATAGTCTGTAATAGGGATGCAATAACGTCAACCATTATTTAAGACCATTAGATATTTGATTGATTGCGGAAAATCTTGAAATGATGTGGCTGATTCAACATCGAATTTATCCTGTTTACATTGTATCGCTCATAATCGAAAATGTGAAATTATGAAGACATTATCACGCGACGAAAGTAAAATTTAAACAACTTACATTATTCGACGAAGTGCACGTCCAAACTTAATTCTATCCTGACAAACAGGAGCAAGCAAAGTTGAATATATTTGAGCAGTTTATATAAATTTTATTTCGAAGTTTAAAAATTTAATGTAATCAGTCAAGAGCAAGACTAATAAAACTAAAGCCAATTGTTCAGGCTTAACTTTCTCATCTAAACATAATAAAATCTGACAGAGCCTCCCCCAAGGAAAAAAAGGTCTCCAATCAAGCATCATCATAGGCTAAATTAAAGAAGCTCTGCTCATCGCTGAGTCTCACTTGCTTCTTCACCCTCCCCGACTTGGAAAAAAAGCAAGCCGCTGAAGCCACCCTACATCGATCCACCGTACGAATCAAAGTGTCGCGTACGAAATATTTACGGCAATCAGTTGTAATTGGTAAAAAAAAAGAAAAAAAAAAGTCGGCAGGGCCACTGCTGCAACGTTAATCTCTCGGGAGACACGCGCGCAGGGGAAACACCGCGAAGATGAGACGGCAGTTCATCTTTACGTCTGTGCCTTCCCCTCTCTTGAGAGAGAGAGAGAGAGAGAGAGAGAGGCCCACAGAGAAAGTGGGATTCATGAATTTTTCGCGTTGCCGCGTCTGTCTTGCTGCGTAACGGTGCTTCAATGTCGATTTTTTCTTCTCTCAGGCTGCTTATTCTCTGTCTGACTTGCCTCAAAGGAATGTCATTTATGATGCGTTTTAAAGAACATACCGTTTTTGAATGTTTAATGCTATATCTGTCAGTGCTCTGTGTTAAAATTTCTTTCTTTTTCTTTGGAAAATTGCACTGACGCACGCAGAGGATTTTTTTTTACTGTAAAATGTATGAATTAACGCTTCGAGCTGGCTTTCTTTCATAAAACTTGTGATGAATGGATGGTAATTAGTGATTGTGATTTTTACCATGATTAATCACTGTCGAAGTAACCAATTTTGTTTAACGAATTGAATTCGTTAACGAACATTCATCTGCATTATTTATTTATTTTTTTCGAAATTGCTTCAGTCGCCGGCGCTGCGCTCGCGATAAATTGAATTGAAAAATCCGTCAACCCGTTTATTTCGATAAAATCTGTCCACCGCGAGCGAAATAACCCTTCTCCGAAAGGAAAAAAAATCGATATTCAATATGACCGCTCCCTCAATTAATGTGCCGCAACAATGGGGTGGAAAGAAACAATCAGTTGTGCGGAGGATCACTCGAGGACGAGTAATAATACACCGAACAAAAGCGAGCCGACGATATTCGTGGACACGTGTCCAGTGACGGCGTCGGCGGCGACGACGACTACGACAAAAACCTTCCGCGAGAGACACTGACATTGAATTCCGTTCTCGGCGAAAGAACAATGGGCTAAAAGCCCTGCGAGCCTCGCGCGGGGGATGGACAATAATAGAGGCGAGTGCCCGATAAGGCACACACACAGCCGATAAATACTCAAGCCAAAATTTGTCCAGTGCAGCTCTGGGAAGAGTGAGTGAGACGCGTCTTATCGCCGGAAGAAACGTGGAAAAGAAAGGCGTCTGACCGCTCGACAAGAGTGGATGATTTATTGTAGCCGTCGGCCTTTGGGTGCGGTGTATCTATCTGTCTATTCCGTCGGCGTCTTTAAATGGTCGGAGATGGGAGTTGGAAGAAACCTCGTGATAGCGGAGGCAAATAAAGAGGGGGTTTGATTTCGGAATCGGGATATAATAAAGTGAAGCGGATGTGTGTGACTCACTCTCGTGACAGTTTTATTTTGATTTCTTTTTTCCATCAATTTTTTCCGTACAAAGAGTGTCTGTTATATCTTTTTATTCATCGAGGACGTGTCAAAGAATTTTACTTTTTCGATAGGCTATCGCTATTTTATCTATTGCACTGCGTGTGCGAGTGAATTTCATAGAGTTTTCATCGATGAAAGACGGAGTTGTAAAAGTGACGGGGAAAATTAAAAGGCAGTTACGTATATCGCGATCACGTCACAAGCATGCAAGTACATTTCGCCGCAACAGCGCCATATCGGAGTGATCCATTTCTCATGTCCATAATGATGTTGTTACCTCATTACCATCATAATACAGTCATATTCACGCACCCAGGCAAATCACGTGATCTCTCTCTCTCTCTCTCTCTCTCTCTCTCTCTCGAATTAATAGAGTTTATGACCGCAGGAGCATTAACATAGAAATGAAATTCAAGCTTTAACGCACTCTACCATGTTGTGCTTGACATTATATAGGTATGCCTAATCAGCGTGTGATGGATGTATCGTCATTTTTTGGACACACCAATTAATACTGAACCCTCGAAACTGCCACAAGATATGAATCTATAGAGCGGTAAATAAAAAGAAAGTGTTTGCCCGCGTCGAAGTATAATTTATCTTGCAAATCCAACAGTCGAATATCAATTTCGCGGCCAAATCGAATTGATAATTGACTTTTCCACTGTACGAAGGCGTTCGCTTAACGAAGCTTGACTTTTTCGCGCGCGAGTAAGGGGCAAATTGAAGGAGAAAGAAAGAAAGAAAGAAAGAAAGAAAAAAAAAAATTGGCAGCGACTCGCGAAAGAGCACGGCGTTATTAATTTCAAACTGTTTGGCGGAGGCCAAACGCAAGGGCGTGTATCGATATACTGCGCTTGCCGCTCGTAATTACAGCAGGGAGGTGTGCCGCGCGCGATCTTTCTTACGTATACACGCGTGCGCGCGGCAGAGTTTTTCGTCGTGGAAATAAGCCTTTGTGTCTCGCGCGGCCGATGCATAATTAATTTTACGCACCAGCGCTGAAAATCGGAGCGTGCAGGTACACGCACGTGGGAGTGTCGCGCGGGGGGTCGGGAGAGGAAAACAGCGCCGCGTCGGAGCTCCAGTTCTCGAGCCAGCCAATGAATTTTCGCGGTGATCTACTTCTCGCAAGATCGTGTTCCACGCTCGAATTTTCAAAACGTCCAATGTAACAGTGTTCGCAGGCTCCGGAGCGTGAGGATTCGTGCGTAACGTAACGTGTAGGCGAGGAAAGTTTGCAATGAACTTGGGATAACATGATACGTGCAGCTGCGAGTAATAACAGCGCGTATTGTGCCTGCACTGAAACATGACATGCTCATTAGCGGCGAACAATTAGTCAAGGAGTATCGCAACGTACTATGAGATATGATTTATAACGGCGCATCGAGTCATGCGTGCTTTAGCTTAAAGTTGTAGTATTGCGCAACATGTCGTCGTCGTCGTCGTCGTCGTCGTCGAGCGCCTCCCGCGAACCAAATATGGTATCGAACGCGTAAACGCTAATCAATGAGAAAATAGCCAAGTATTGTAAATCATACGCGTCATCGACAATAATACAACTGTTTGCGCGATGCCAGTGGGAGATATAGGCCCTCTCACCCTTTTCGATTGCGAGACGACAACGCATGGAATATCTCAAAGTGTGGGCGAGCTCTTATGGGTGGGTTCGGCGAGCCGGCAAATCTAATTACACACAATCTCTTATGGCGCTCGCGCTCCTTATTTATGCTTCGTTAATTTTCCTTTCCTCGAGTTCAATTTGCTTTCGCGAACGAAAACAATGAGGAATTTCTTTTCAATGGCCCCTTCGATGTTTACGACCGCGCGCAATTCGCTTTGCGAGCCGAGAGAAGCCTCGTTGCCTCGCGCGATCGACGTGTCGGACCGACCGACCGCCTCTCGCGCGTGGGCAATTAAATTGCCGGCGCACGACGAGGACAAAAATTCGTTAGACGCGCGAGCGTACGCATCGCAACGCGGCCAGGTTGCGTCGACCTTTTGCACCGCGTCTCCCGTACCGAGTCTCTTACAAAGTCCCCGAAGGATATCGGCATGCGCCGCAATTACGATGACTGAGCGAGCGAAGCTTTCAAGGGGGAGAAGAGAGAATACGGTTTCCACGTAAAGAAAGGAGGGAGTAGACGTCGCGATATGCATTTTCAATGCGCTTGGGCTTTTGTCTCGGGCGAAAGATTACTTTTGCGCGCGCATCCCCCTTGAGATTGTACGTATATTGCTCGATGTAGTTGTGACTGGAAAATCATACCTTCCCGCCGCAGCTCCGCAGCTCCGCGGCTCGGCGGAGTGTCTATCGTTGCTCGCGAGTAGTAAACCGTATCGCCATACCACTCGGCCAGTCCCGTCGATATCCCTCGCGCGTTTTTTTCTCTGCCGAAGGGTGGTTTGGCCGATGTTTACTGTCATTTTACGCTGCGTGCTGGATGGAATTTTGTGCTTTCGTCAATACACGCGTAGGGGATGATGGGCATTCATAAAAGATTTAGTCGAAGGATGCGCTGTATATTTTATTACGTACCGTGTGCGGCGTACGCTCTCCCCTGAAGCGCCCGCGAGCACTCGATATCATGAAATTTTACCGTGCGATAAGGCCAGATGCTACGCAGACGCCAGACTCACCTGCAACAGAAAATTTCAGCTCGTTACGTTCACGTCGATATCTATCGGGAGGAATTGTCGAGCCTACGATTGGTCGCACGCCAGACGTGCAAGAACAAACACGAAGCGAGAGAGAAATAAATTAATTTGCTGGAATCATCCCCGAGGAAATCACTCGTGTCCCTGCCGTCCGCGCGGAAAGAAACGCAACGCGACTTCAGTGGCCTGGCAATTAAGGATGAAATGTTTTACAAAGTCGACGTCGGGGATCTCGCTAGCGTTTCGCATGCGCGCGCGTGTCAAAAGCGTCGAAAAAGCATCGCGGGCAGCGCGGCATTCCGACATCTGAAAGGCTGAAGACAGGAATAAAAAGCGACAGCGGCGGCAAGGCTCTCGCTTTCAGAAGACAAGGGGGCAGCCCTTGATATCCGCGCTTTGCTCGCTCGTCGCCGCAGGAGCGCGAAACATCGCAGCTTCCACCTTGACGCGCTCGAGTCTTATCCAATTATCGCGCGATTCCGTTATAACGCTTCTCTCTCTCTCTCTCTCTCCCTCTCTCAGCCCATCCAATTAACTTTGTAATTACGCCAGTGCACCGCCAGCCCGCCGGATTATTCTCATTAGAAGTGCAGCGAGGCCGTTTCTCTATACGTATACGTACAGATACGGCGAGACTCCTGCGCGCAAATATCAAAATTATATATGCAAGGCGCCGAAACGTTTGACCTCCTTAGCCACTTCACTTATTATGCGACTGCAACTTCGTAATTTTCTTGTCGCTTAATGACCGCGAGTCGAGTACTTTTTCGAAGTCGAATCCTTAATCTCCATACTGCCAAATTAAGCTTTTCCTGACTAAATTCACTTCGAGTCCGCGCTAGCCGTGTTTCAAATAAACATTTAACGAAGTCATTAATTCATTCTTCACTCTCTGCCATTCACTTGTGCCCGATACGCGTTTCTTCGCTCGACAAGTGTTATTCCATCCTCGCATTAATTAAAAACCATGCAAGACTCATCAAAGCGAGCGCACCACTTGTTTATTTATCTGTAGAGCGTGCGAGCGTACGTGCTTCGCCATTCTTTGTTAATGCAGTTACTAATTCGATGAGCTTACGTTCCTCGCTTTCCGTTGGTTTTTCGCCATCGCGAGAGAACCGAGTAATTTGAAGAAAATTGTTAATTATGAGTTCGTTTGTGGAAAATGAAAACGGGTTCGTTTGATGGATTATCGCGGCTTTTTATTCCGTTTCTGAGCAAATTTTATAAACGCCCGTGTTAATTATTTTCTTTCGGTTAAGCTCACATAAATAACATTAGCCAACACAAGCGAATTTGCTATCGCGTAAAACACGGCACTCGAGTGCATCATATACGCGCGGAGGAAAGAAGTATAGTATGTATTGCTGCGGAGCCACCTTGGCGGCAAGGCAAGAAAGTGTATACGTATATACGCGGACCGCCCACGCGGGGCCTGGTATCGGCAAATTCTCCCATGTCTTCTCTCTCTCGCTCTCTCATCGTATGTGCACATGTACGCACGTTATAATACACGAGCCGCGCGAATTTAACGCCACAGAAGAGAGAGGATATATAATGCATTGTGCCCTTCGAGAGAAAGATGCATATTGCTTATTATGAACACGCCCACGAACTAAAAAGCCTTCGAGGCTCTGATAGATCCTTCTTTTTATTTAGACTTTTAGTATAGGACCCGGAGAACAAGTTTTTCGTCTAGTTTCCTCGGGTATCTCAACCAACTGCAACAACATTTAATTAACGAGATGTCTCATTCCACACAGTCGAGAAAAAGTCTTTAACGAAGTGAAGGGAACTTTTTATTTCCCGAAGCACGTGCGCCACCTGCAAAGTTGTTATTGTTGCCGGAAAAGTAAAGAGCTTCTGGAGAAAGCTCTTTCTCTTCATCCGTGGTGGCTTGTTCGCTTGTAATTGTGAAAAACCATGGCACAAACATACATCTAGCTAAGATACAAAAATTTTTAACTTGCGTCGAACCATCAATTTAGAAGTATCGAACGAAAAGCAGCTAACGTTTTTCTGTTCTCTTTCCTTTTCCTCCCTCTCTCTCTCTCTCTCTTTTTTTTTTTTGTGATACCAAGCTCGGGTATAAAGTTTACGCACCATCGTTTTATTTTCGATGCTTCCGCAACGTACATTTTTCCTGAGAAAACGATCGATTTTCTGTCGATCGACGCGCGCGTTACTTTATACGGCACAGCGAATTTTGCAGCTCCTCTTCCTCCCCCCTCCGTCGCTTGCTATATAACAGCGTCTATAACAATATCTTCGTATTTTTATACATCCTGCGAACAACGTCGAACACACGTACGTATATGCAAGCGCTGATTTCCACAGCTGAGATTTTTTTATATTCATTCGAATAGTGTTTTTTTCTGGCAAAACTTGTGTTCTTTGAGTAATACAGCCAAAATATATCACGCCATGAGCTGCCGAATAAATAATTTCTCATGGTTGTGTGATCAATTAATTAGCATATGCATTATAGCAACGTCAATTCAGATTGGAAAATTTATCTCAGCAAGAGCAGCAGCCGCAGCAACAGCTACGTGGGATAAATCACGCGTTATTTGTCAAATTTACAGTTTCTATCTACTCATCGCTACTTCAAATAAATGGCCGTTGTAAACTTATCGGCGCCAGTAGAAATTCCTCCTATAAATTGTTATCTCTAATAGTAATTAACGAGTCAAACATGAAGTAGAGATATAATAAAAAAAATCCTTATTAGCGTTAAGTAGATAAGTCTCGCAGTAAAAATGGGCTCTCCCGAGCTATTGGGTGATTTTTATCGCTTAATAACTCAAGCCATACTTTCTTGTCGCAAAAAACAAGTGAAGATGACAATAAAGCCAAAGCGCCTTTCTCGCATCTTCTTCTTTTTTTTCACCTTCGATAGATTTAACGCTAGCTCTCTGCGACCGGTTTGCGATTATGTTTTACGAGCCGACTGTCCCAAGCTGTCGCGCTTATTGTATAGAAAGATATGTTAAAATTGCTGTTTTTATTATTACGCTTGCGACGCAGCCACCACCATTTGAATTTTTAACTAATTACAATGTGGTAACCAATTAAATTTGATTTATCGAGGAGCTTTTATTTCATGGTTATTCGATTTGAATAAAGGAAAGATCTGCGTTTAGTTAACGGTTTCAGCTTACTGTTTTGTCTAAGTATGCTATTATCATAATTTCACTGCTTCCGAATGTACATTGTCGTCACCCAAATAACTGTAAAAAAATTCTTTCGTCTAAAGTTTAAAAACATATTAATTTCATAGGCTTGGGATATTTCCTTGCCTTCCAACTTCCTCAATAAAAGAAGCAATCCGACTAGAAGGAATTCGGCAGATATCCCCTCGTATAAGCGTATGATAAAAAAATATCCAACAAACTACGTCATAAAAAATGTATTTACATGCTTATAAAAAAATGTTCACAGCAGCAGCAGTAACAGCAGCAGCAGCAGCAACAACGGCGGCAGGAGAGCCGCATCAGAAAATTAATCAGATAATTAGCAATAAATCGTTGAGTAGAAGGTTCGCGCATCTTCCTCGGGCCACGCACGACACATACATCAATCGCGCAGGTGGCGCGTATATCACCTCGGCAGTTTCCGCATCGTCGTCTTCTTCTCGTTTTTTATACTCACTCCGTATGCCGCTCATTAGTATCCGACGTAGCCCATTACTACAGCCGCCTCGTAAAACGGCGTTATGGTTTTACGCGTGTAGCTGCAGCACGAGCGATTGCCTTTTTGCTCTGTTTTCGTTCGCGCGCCTTCAAGTACTGTTTTTAGCTTTCAATTGGTTTATTGCCGCGGACGCTTTCTGTTGTTCTTCCTCTCTCTCTCTCTCTCTCTCTCTCTCGACTCTCCCTCTCTTCGTTTTTTATGGTTTACGCCTGCGCCGTTTTGCTACTCGATTGCAAGAGTTTTGTACGCTATATATGTACGGTAATATTTTGAAATTACCTGGCTGCGACCTGTACGAGATGCTTTGATTATTTTCTGTATTCGCTTGATAAGCTTCGCATAATTTCACCAAGATATTTTGCTTTTCGAAACTCCAACGATTTGCATATTATACCGAGGCAATCGAATAGTTTTCACTACCGAGTTTTCCTTTCATTATAGGTCTTTGCAATCGAGTTTTTCGCACGTTCTACAGAAGTATCCTCGTCGATAACGCTCGCGATTTTTAAAAACGAGTAAAAGTCGGCGTTGAAATTTATAATACGCGACTAGTGCCGCACGCACGAATAAATATACAACATTATCGCGAGAAACAGGATTGAAAAAAGAGAATCTGACGCGCGAGGCGTCTAATTTAAAACGCAAATACAAGAAATATCGCATAAATCAATGAGTATTTCAGAAAGAGAAAATTGCCTGAATGCGCGGAAGAACATTTACACGAGTTACAACTTACTACAGCGGCGGCACGTACAACCGAAAGTGAGAAATCACACACGCATAACACAGAAGTATATCGTGCGGGCGAAAGGTCACTTTCGCGCGAGCGGCAAATGAAACGAGAAATTGTAATAATTTAATACGGACGGCAGGGGCGTTATTTAGCGCGCGATTATGTAAATGCCACGAGTTCTCAAACTCAATCAAAGTCCTCGCTCTCTCGAGCAGGTCTTGATCGTAATTAACATTAACGGCCTTGTGCAAGCCTGTACCTAATAATAATCAAGAGTGAGAGAGAAAATGAGGCCTCCGATACATAATGAAATCCCCGCGCTGCCCCCCTCCCCATCCTCAAGACAAATGTTTATCGCGCGCGCGGTATAATAAATAGCCCCGGATTTTTTGACGCTCGACTTAATTAGCTTTGGCACGCGAGAGAACGACTGCCAAGGCCTTTTGTGTGTATGAGAGCAGCGCCGAAATTGCGATTGTCTTTGCCTCACAGGCATTCTCTCATTCTCCTCTTCTCCCTCCTCTGTTTATACCGATAAGAAACTTTGTTGCAGAGA